GTTTAAGAATAGAGACTGCCCTAGGTCAGTCCGATCTACGTTCGAAAGTCTTTTTTGGAGATAGTTTTTGACGTAAAAATTAAGATCTTTTTCGTTAGTTGATAATAAGATATTTTGCACAGAAACCGTGGGATAGCGATGCACGATTCGCAATCCGACGCGAAATTTTCGATATAGAGATTCTTTTTGTATGTCCGGTAGCATAGGGAGAAAAGGGAATATCCATGTAAAAAAAGAAAAGACGTATGCAAAGAAACAGAGGCGAAGAACGCGGGTAGAGATAATTCTGTTTCTTTTTAACCACTTGAGTTTAACAAAACATTTTTGTATGTTCTCTAGACAATGGTCTACTGTTGGTTTCAGTGAAAGCTTGTCAGTCCATGTAAATCCGAGATATTTAAAACTCTTAACAATTTCGATTTTTTTCCCATCCATAAAGATCTCAACTATCGGTTTTCTCACTTGCGAATGAAAGACCTGAGCTACCGTTTTATTTATATTAATCGGTTGTTTCCATTTTTTGGAATATTCAAAGATTCTCTCACACAATTTTGTACCCTCAACATTTAAAAAATCAGTCTTTCCTGATATACTACGCATTATTGGTGGGACTATCAAAACATTTAAATCATCTGATGTGGGATGAAAAGGCTCCTATATAGTTGACTATATCACTATGAAAACCGGTGCCTCCAAAGCTCTCGAATTCCAACCTTGAACATTAAATAGACAAAACTTCAATGGAACATTTTGTTTAATTCCGTAGGTTTCCCATTTTTCCAAAGCTGCTTCCAATGAACTGGCCTCATACCATTCCGAAAGATACACATGCAGATTTTTCACTTCCTTATCAGAAAAACCGCAGACTCTCAATCTGTTACGAGCTTTTTCTAATCGGGTGCTATTTTGTTGAGATACAAATCTAGGCGCATTTGGATTCAAAGACATTTACAAAATCAAATCTAGGCAGAGTGATCTTCTGTGATCGTACCTTCTGACTGTTCCTAATCTGTTCCACTTCTATTTGACATTGGTCGTTCCCGTTGATGGTTATTATTTAAAATAATTTCTGATCTCGTTGCTGACGTTCTTGTCATTCCGGAACATTGATATTCCATTCTTAAACATTCTTCTGCTACTAGACAAAATTTGGCAAAGTCTTCTAAATTTTCAATTAATTTGACGCCTATATTTGGTATTGCTGCTAGTGTTGGTTTTAATGTTGTTGTAAATAAATCTTTTTGCTTTAGAAACAATTCCGATAGCCTGATTTTATTCGATCTGGTATTGTGTTCGTTCATTTTAACTTGTTGTTCTATTACATTTAAACGTTTGTTTACTTGTTTAAATTTATCATTGAAAAATTCTTTCAGTTGAGAAAATAGTTGACTATTTTTGCCATATCATTCAGATTATTACTTTGACCATTCCAAGCCTTTTGTGGCTTTAAACCCGCTGCTGTGTTTATTGGTGGAAACTCATTAGAATCGTAATTGTAAGGCCGCTGTTACTGGGCCTGTTATATATTAATTTGTTTACTTTGAATTACTGATGACCATGCCCGTTGTTGACATAGTTCATAATAGTCTTCCTTGTTTCTCACACCTAGTTTTAACTGGTTCCCAACCACCATTACTTAAACATTTTTCGAAAGTTTTGTTTTTGAAGTCTCAATGGTTGCGAAGATATTTATTTTTATAGGTGGCATCAAGTGAATAACGTGTACTCTCGTTGAACGTAGCGCTGTTGAACTAAAATAGTTGTTTCAGAGAGAAGACAGTATCTAGCATGACCCCTAATGGTTTAAAGCATATTTATAGACTCTGCTTGTTTTTTT